ACAGAGCCCTATCACCGGTGAGGGGCATGCATGACCTGAAGAAATGCAGCCGGCTGGCCCATCGCCCCTCGCAAAGCTGGATCAAGTGATCCACCTGACAAAGGGAAATGTAGCCTAGCATTTCGCAAAGGTGCTGCACTGCTGGTGCGAAGAGCTGCGCGATGCAAGTAGCTCGAGTCAGGCTGCACGCGTGAGCGATGATTCTACATCGGGCAATCGACATTCGGAAGCACGGAAGCTCATGAATGCTGCAAGTCCAGCATGCTCGGCGCCTCCTCTTGAGACACAAAATTCTCAAACAGTGTTACCTCCGGATCCTGCGACAATAGCATCTTAGTTCGATCCCCCTGCTTTGGGCCATTGGGTTTACAGGCATGCTGAATTGCTTCGTTTTTTCTGCAACTCGTCTACTAAGGACCGATGCCAGCATCGGACGATTTCTCTTTCTAGCCTGGCACCTCTTCGAAGATTTCCTCGGACCCCTCAACACAGTGTCAGCTCCTCATGAACCGTCTTTGCCAGGATCTTCTCTGGTCCGGCTACCTGCTCTCCCAGACCTGTGCAGCAGAAGACCGCATGTAAGTTCTTGGGGCAAGTGCCGAAATAATTCACGGCCACCACGGGCTTCCAAGGCTCTTCTCATTCGCTTTGAGACACAAACACGAGCTATACAGTCATTGTATGTGTATATATATATATGCATATATATATATACACATGTTTGTATATCTACATCTGCCTGTCTGTATGTATGTACCTATATACATATGTGTATTGCTATATGCAATTGCATACAGATACCACATGGCTCTCTCTCTCTCTCTGTCTGCATGTATATGTATATGCATATGCAGGTGTGCATGTATGTGCATGTGTATACGCACATGCACATGTATGTACACATGCATGCGTGAATATGAACCTTATATATATATATATATTGTTTAGCACTCGCACTCGACGAGTCAGGCGAGGTACCAGGAGGACCAGACAACTGAAGCGGTAGCCCTTATATATATATGCATACATATGTGTGTGTTGGCATGTATGTGTATATATATATATATGTATATATATATATATCCACATATGCATATGCATAAATGTATACACGTATATATGTAAAAATGCATACCTGGTATTGCCTGGTATATATGTATATATGCATTTGTGTACGTACGTATGTGAGTCAGCAGGTAAGTAAGTATGTAAGTAAGCAAGTAAGTATGCACGTATGTATGTATGCATGTATGCATGCATGTATGTATATATTGATATGTGTACATATATACATATATAATATATAATAGCTAATATACAACATATAATGTATAATATATAATATATAATATATAATGTATAATGTATTATATATAATATATAAAACATAGTATGAAATATAATATAATATAATATAATATAATATATATATATATATTATACAAAAAACAATTACGATATACAATATATAATTTATAATATATAGTAGTAAAATATATAATTCATTATATATAATACATCTTATATAATATATATAATATAATATAGTATAAAATAATATGACATAATACTCTATACTATATTATAATATACTATACTATACTATGCTATAATAAGATATAATAGAATATGATTAATGTAATGTAACATAGTATTACATGATGTAATATAGTATAATTTCAGATAATATAACATCATATGAAATAATGTAATACAATACAGTACAATTAACAGAAATATATGTAATATAACCAAACATAATATAACTACATATATAATAATAATATACATACAATATTAATATTATATATATATACACACATTATACATACAAATATGTGTTTGTGCATGCGTATATGGGCATATATGTTTATGCTGCATACTAGTGTCTACATAGTGTGCAAAATAAAGTTACATGTAATGCCTCTCTGTATATGTGTATATACATATATATACATATATATACATATATATATATATGTGTGTGTATCGCGACCCTGGTTGTGTTGAGGCAGCCGCACGCTTCCGTGACTTTCGGCGGGTCGGATTCTGAAGGCTCCTCTTTGGCTCGGAAACTGTTCGGACCGGTGCAAAGGACCCTATTCCAACAGACATCTGAGCACGGGGCTGTCGTCATGATGGCCTGAACTGCTTGATGTAACTACAAAATACTAATTAGGAAGTTGCCTGCTGTGCCACGGCTGATGTAACTACAAAAACTATACTTAGGAAGTTGTCTGCTGTGCCACGCAAAACAATGCAATATTACGCCGCGCTCAGCTCCTGGCCATGATTGATCGCGAGACTCGTCACAAGTGTCGGTCTACCACCAACCAGCAATCAGATCGAGCCGTGCACTTAACTGCCAAAGCTTGCAGTCATCCCGCTGTCGTAACGTTCTGATCTGATATCTGCGTCTTTGCCCGGCTTGAGCTGTAGGTAAGAGATGGTCAACAAACGTGTCCAGACTGTTGCTGCCCTTGCAGCATCAGCCGACTGAGCCAATGCCAAGTGATGCTTCATAGCTGCATCGCAGTGTTACAATACGCCTGTGCCATGTTACAGAAGACGTCCAAAGACTGACCAAGAGGGAAGAACCCAGTCTTGCAATGGCAGGCCCGCATCTTGGGGACCTTGGAATGTCAACACAATGCCGTTTGCAGGATGTAATGCACTGCACACTGAAAGCTTTCCAAGCATCGCGAGCTCCGTTGTAGGATTCTCGCCCTTCGTAGCACCCTCCGAGGAGACAGACACCGTCCTGACACACAGCGCAGCTCAGCACAAACTTGGACACGCTTTGCCGCATGAGTGTAGAAGCCCAAAGACCTAATCAACAGCATTGCGACCCCGGTCCAGTTTGGAGGCTTCCACAGCGCCACCAGATCTGGCAGGAGCAGCAATCAAACCCCAGGATTTATTTGGCAGTCACGAAATGGAATTTGCACAGGTCTGACATGCCTACGTCTGCGCGCAGGATGACAGGATCCATGCCGTCCACCAGGCTGAGGTCCTCCTACAGCAGCTTGCAGGCTCCATGCCCTAGTTGCCGAGTTGCACCGCTTGAGCCTCCTGAGTGCCAGGAGAGTCAGCTGAAGCTGTTTCTTCACTGCCGGCGCCGTCCAGCCTGCAGTTTTTTCCAGCACAAATTCGGAAAAGAGCGCACAGCGAGATAAGTTTTTGGGTTGGAGATGTTGGACTAAGCAGGCCAAGATAGGTCGAAGCCACGATCCAAATACGCACCAGAATGTCTTGCACTCATTTGGGGTGAAAGCCTCCGCCCCAACATTTTGAGAAGCTTCTCCGTCTCCGCATGTACCTCTCCAAGTCAAAACTTGGATGCCATGCGGCATGGATTGTTACGGCAGCAGCCGCTCGGCTGCCTCGGAGGTGAAAAGCCCGCAAGATGACAGGGCTTGCGCCATGCTCAGAACTGCCTTGCGACGAGAGGCACCGCGTGCGGCAGATGGGGGGCAGGGAGAAAAATTGAAAAGCAGAAGTGAAAGGTGGTAGATGTATGTAAATGTATACCTGGTAAATACCAGGAAGCCACCAGCACAACGCAGCCGTGGCCTGACCCTGGGAAGCGTGTCTGAGAGTGCACGTAGCTTGGCCTCGATGTCGCCATCGCCGCAGGGCCGTGTAGCCTCAAGAGGCTGTCTCACTGCTTCTGGAATTGTCCGTTTAGACTGCGCATCTTGGAAGGTTCTCCGTGTTATGTGATCTGCAACCGGCGTCGTGCTCGAACAAGAACGAACATTGAGATGGTCACAGTCGCGGCCTCGGTGGAGGCTATCTGCAACCTCGGACAGGCAGCAAACGAGCACAGCTGCAGCGACGTTTCCACAACACGGCGGCCTTCTGCAATTCCAGAGCTGCTGGCGTCATGTTGCGATGCCAGAAACTACGAGTCGCTGCCTACTGTAGCTTGAGGCAGATTTGAGCAACGGCGCTCCCCTTTGTCCAGCACTCTTTTGGCGGAAAAACGACAGCTCCTGCAATTTTGCAGGGCGTGCGTGTGCGGCCCGGCACCGGTTCGCCAGGCGACTCTACAGTATCTCTTCAACTCATCAATACCGCCAGACAGGAACACCTGTAGCCGTCCCCCGAAGGATGCACCCAGGGGAGCAAGGCCTAGACTCCTAGACCCTAACGTTTGAACTTCAGGTCTGCGGGGTTTCGGTGGTCACTCTCGGACCAGGCGAGGTGCGCGGTGCTTAGTCGGTTGGAGGTGAAACCTACACCTCGAGTTTGGTCGGCATCTCGAGCTGCGGTGGCTCAACAGATCCAAACACCAAGAGAAGGAGGAGCCTAGTGTTGGGACCCAAGCAGAGATGCACTGCCTAGCAGGTTAAGCAGCAGGAGGGTGCCTGTGTACTTCTAGGCTCCTCCAGCGTGACCTGGATGGTGAGATAAGCCAACTGTCGGGTTTTAGTTGCAGTACAGCCCTCAGAGTATCATAAAGGCTGGGACGCCTGGGCAGAGTCAGTCAGCTTATCTGCGAGACCTACTTGGACAAGACAACCTTTGGATGCTCTCCTACCTTCTCAGGCCGACCGTTGAAAAAAAATGGAATTTGGGGGTGAATACAAGTTTGTGGCAAATGTCAGGTCAAGACGGCCGGCCTATTGGTGAAACGATGATGCCAAGAAGCAAGACACTTCTTCTTCCATTTCTTAAGTACATGACAAGTCCAGCATATCTAAGATTATCAATGGCTGCCTGGTTTGACTTTCAAATCCCTACGGCATTGTTGGGCTGCAGTATAGCCAAGTTCGTACGACTGGTATTTCTACCCAAGTCCATGGAAGATCTCATGCCGGTCGCCAGTTCACGTGCCAAAACTACAACAAGTAGCTCCACTTGGCGTACGCCGGTCGAGAGGAAAGCATCATTGGCAAGTGAGTGGCTTCCGATGCTATCCCTCTATAGGCAATCGATCTCTCAGGCTTTGCTGTGCCGCTTTCACAGGGCAACCGGCCATGCAAATCTCAGACTCACTAATGCTCGGAATAAATTGATGTACAGTCGTCCTCCGGATCAATCAAGACAGCTGATGCCGATCTTCTCTGCTCTTCAGCAGCTTCACTGTGTGCACTGTCTCTCAAGCCTGCCTGGGAGTTTCCCAGCTCGACGGAGTGGAGCTCCTCCGGATCGTCAGCCAAGGTCACAGAGACCAAAGACTCGCTGGCCACTTCCACCTCCTCCACATCCCCTGGTTCGATCCATCTGCCTTTTGAAGCCTCATCCTCCAGCTCGTCTTCGTTGTCATCCTGCTCTGACTCTTCATCCGCAAGCCAGTCGTTCTCGATCTTGTGTTGCACCTTTCGACTGCAGCAGATTGCGAAACTGGCCAGTGTGGCCAGAATCAATGCCACGGCCAGCGGGACAAGGATGAGATCCTGCACGAGACTCACACAACAGCTTTCCAACCATTTGATGGCATCCTGCAGGCTGACGTTCGCAAGGAAGAGCAGAACATAGATGATGCTGAAGCCTGCGTGGCAGCTCCAAACGCTCCAAAACACAAACGACTTGCATCGCCACTTCATCAATATCTTTGTTTTCTCACGCGCGTTCCACTCGTTCTTGTCCACGGCAGATCGACTCTGGAGGATAAACAAGGCAAAGATGACCAGATCACCGAGCAAGGCTGAGATGATGCCAACGGTGGCCGTCTGGACCATGCTTGCCAGCAAATCCGTGGGTGGCTGGCAGTCTGGATCTGAATCTGGAGTTGTGGAAGAACTTGAAAAGAAGAGCGCGCCAACAGCAGCTGCGCTTGTCAGCTTTGTGATGATCAGGGCCGTGCGCACGGCGTGAAAAGGCTAAATCTGACAGTCTCCAACCATGGATGCAGCGCCGGGAACAGGAGCAAGATTCGCTTGACCCACGTGCTGGAGAGAAAGCTCTCCACAGCTTGTGTCCCATGTTTCTTCATCTCCTCGTAGGGAAGAAGCCCGGTGCTGTGAGCTGATTTCAAGCCACTGTCCACAGTCGTGATAACCGACGAACCAAACTCTCGCAGGCTTGGTCTTCTCCTCTGCATGTCGGGCGACTTGTCTTCATTGCTGGACATTGCCGACGTCATGCTCATGGAGCGGGAGAAGGTCTTGGACAGCTTTTTGACACCGTCGATGCTGTCTCGGGAGGTTCCGGTCTTGTGCGCATGGATGGTGGTGATACATCGGTTCACGGTGGAGACCGGGGCGTTGGGAAGGAACTCCTTTACGACCTCAGCCAAGTTTTCGTATCCGAAGAGCAAGCCAATGAACCACAGTGTCCAGTCAACAGCCGCCCCTATGAAGCTTTTTATGCTCTCCCAGCACGTTTTCGGCTCCTCCGGAGGCAGCTCCTCAATCAACTGTGCAACTGTCGTCCTCTTGCGCAAGAGAACAGGCTCCTTCTTCTCCCAGGGATTGCTTGGTTGGCACGGCGATCCATGCGTAAAGCACAGCCGAA